CTCCACCCCATCCCCACTCCTGAACCATGAGGACTACTCTCAGGAAACAATGGATAGGGGCAGGGGCTCAATTCTGTGCAAGGTCCCCCATTCCAGATTCCTCCTCCAGATTTACCTTGTGTTATGCTTCAGAAATATAGGGACGTGGGTAGCGCTGTGGGTTAAACCACAGAGTCTAGGACTTGCCGATCAGAAGGTCGGCGGTTCGAATCCCCACGATGGGGTGAGCTCCCATTGCTTGGTCCCTGCTCCTGCCAACCTAGCAGTTCAAAAGCACATCAAAGTACAAGTAGAGAAATAGGTACCGCTCTGGTGGGAAGGTAAATAGCGTTTCCGTGTGCTGCTCTGGTTCACCAGAAGCAGCTTATTCATGCTGGCCACATGACCCGGAAGCTGTACGCCGGCTCCCTCGGCCAGTAAAGCGAGATGAGCGCCGCAACCCCAGAGTCGGTCACGACTGGACCTAATGGTCAGGGGTCCCTTTACCTTTACCTTTATGCTTCAGAAAAGAGAAAGAGATTAACACCAACTTCTTTCCCATTAAATTATGTTTTCCTCAGCTTCTATTGCTTGTGATTTGTTGTTTTCAGTGATTTGTTTTGTTTTGTTTTGTTTTGTTTTAATTTGCTGGTTGCTCAGAGACTCCGCTTTGGGGTGGAAAAATGGGATCTAGGTGGATCCATGAATATATCAATCAAGTGTTTGTACATGATGTGCTGCAGGACCTCCCGCAATTACCACCTCAACAGGAGGATGCAGGAACAGGGTCTTTTGTGTGGTGGCTCCTCCTGCCCCTTGGACCTTCTGCTCTTCTCTTGTACATCAGTCAGGCACCATTATCAGAGTCTCTTCAGAGCCCACTGAGGACCTGCCTTTTGAGTGGAGGTTTGTGCCTGAACTGGATTTGAAATGGCTTCTCTATGTATGCTCCAGTTGTTAAAACAATTCAAAATGTCTCCTGGGAAGCAAGTCCTCCCTATATCCATTAAATCTGAATTAATTAGAAGTCCATTCATCAGTCCTCTTGGAAATGGCCAAGCCATTGGCAAAAGCCACCACTTCTCCAAAGTGGAGGGACCCCAAATAGAACACACACACACAAAAGTCCACTTCTAGGCCATTGCCATCTGGTCTGCCGAGGGAGGATGCTAACCGGGTTTCTTAACTAAGGGCTTTGCTACTGCTGCTGCTGCTTGGTTTCCTTTCCTGGGACATGAGAAAACTTGACACCTGCCTGTGCCACTCTCCTCTCTCTCTCTCTCTCTCTCTCTCTCTCTCTCTCTCTCTCACACACACACACACACACACACACAGATACACACACCAAGGCTCATCGGCTCGGCAAACAGATACAGGTTTCCTGGGGTTGCCTGCTGAGCCATTTGCCCAGTGTTGAAATGTTCCTATGGCTGTGGATCCGATTGTGCAAATACTTTGCACGCACCCCTCAATATAAGCAAATCAACAGCTCCGACAGTTTTAATTCAAAACGTGCACTTGGTATTAAGAAGGGGTGTGTGTGATTTTTCAGATCTGGAACTTGAGCTCCTTTAGCTGCGAGGCAAGTTGGACCGGTGGCAGGTAGCATATACCCTCTTCCTTGCAAAAAGAGGGGGGCTGCTGGTTGATACTCCCACAGCACCCCCTACTGGCTGAAGGCCTGGGAAGGGAACCAACGGCACCTGGGCAAATGTTCCGGAGCAGAAGCAACAGGGCTGAAGACTCGCCCTCCCCGTGGGGAAAGCGCAGCTCACATGCTAAAAACATGAAGAGCAATTCAGAGTCAAGTTGCAGCTCTGAAGCTAAATCGCCTTGATGCAGCAGAAGCTCTCGCAGGATCCAGCTGACTTACTCAGAGGCTGGAATCTGACACTGTATTAAAACTGGCTGCGATTGACTCGAGTATTAAATAATCGTAGCCTGGGCGAACGCAGCCATACCAGTAAATGTAACTGCAGTTTCTTTCCTGGCTGTGCCAAAATATTCCAGCCATCATCCTCGCTGAGGCCCCTTTTGCAGAACAAAGATGGTACAGAATAAATGCAGACAGCATCTCGAAAGCGACCGCTAGAGACCCCGTCCCGTCCCTGGGTGTCCTTGGGGCAACAGAGGGGCTGGCAAGCCCCCTGTGGGGAATGGTGAAGGGGGCTGCTCCTTTTCACCCCCCCCCCCGCAAAACCATATTTAACAGGGCTCTAATACCTGCAAGACATCAAAATCTCTAAGCAGTTTTCAAAACACTGTTATTGTCAATTGAACTTATAGCCTGCCCTTCCTCCCAAACGTTGTGGGCTCCCATTCCTAGCAGCCCAAAGCATCTGGACTTGAAATATGTCGCTGTGAATACGGTTTAAGCGGGGTGTAGTGGGAAGGAGGGGGAAAGCAACACTTTTGTGATACGTATATTGACCTCCTTTTCTTATAAGCAAAGCAGCTCCTTGGCATTTTGGACCACACAGCATCATCTCCAATTCTGGAGCAGACCTAGGCTGCTGTCCTCTGGAGATGCAGGGGATCCAGGCAGCTATTCAGAAGCCTGTAGTTTTCTACCTCTTTAATAATAATAATAATAATAAGAAGAAATTATTATTATTATTATTATTATTATTATTATTATTATTATTACCCCGCCCATCTGGCTGGGCTTCCCCAGCCACTCTGGGAGGCTTCCAACAAAATATTAAAATACAGTAATGCATCAAACATTAAAAACTTCCCTAAACAGGGCTGCCTTCAGGTGTCTTCTAAAAGTTGTTCTCTTTGACATCTGGTGGGAGGGCGTTCCACAGGGCGGGCACCACTACCAAGAAGGCCCTCTGCCTGGTTCCCTGTAACTTGGCTTCTTGCGACTTTGCTTTTTGCGACTGCTGCCTTGCCACTGTGCCTAGGGCAGGAGGCTGCAGGGCAGGGCATCCTGTTGCTCAAAGGTGGCTGGGTCAGATTGGGCACCTTTGGAGAGCAAGGAGAGTGGTTTGTATAGAACGGGAGGACCTCCCCTGAGCAAATTGTGACACAGGGTGGGCTGCAGAGCCAACGAGAAGGAGCAAGCACACCAAGGCCACGAGGAGGGGTCCTGAGAACCAAACCATTGAAATCCTGACTGCAGGTGCCCATGCGTGAGCAGTTTTCCAAAAGGGTTACACAGAGAGACGGGTAAAAGGTAAAGGACCCCTGACAGTTAAGTCCAGTCGCAGATGACTCTGGGGTTGCGGTGCTCATCTCGCTTTACAGGCCGAGGGAGCCGGCGTTTGTCCGCAGACAGTTTAGTCCTGACCAGCAGGACTAAGCTGCTTCTGGCACAACGGAACACCGAAACCAGAGCAGCGCTTGGAAACACTGGAGGTTTAGTCTGAGAATGGAACTGCGTTGTTCCCAGACAGTGGGCTGACTATGATCCCAGTGGAACATCACAGGAGTCTCTCCTGCCCTGCTCAGAACCTTCCTTGAAGCATGTTGTCTCTTCCAACTCTATGATTCTATGATTCTATCTCACTGCTCATGCTCCAAGCTCAGAGCAGTCACAGAATCATAGAACAGGAAGGCAGCTCCCAGGGTCCTCTTGTCCCAACCGCTGGAATGCAGGAATCCCAGCTCAAGAATCTCTTTACAGATGGCCATTCAGCCTCTGCTTGAAAACCTTCAAGGAAGGAGAGTCCACCACCTTTAGAGTCAGAAAGTACTTCCTGACATCGTCATAACCTCCTTCCTTGCCATTTGAAGATTCTGACTGAACATTAGGAAGAACTTTCTGGTCAAAGTCACCAGAGCAATCTCAGCTTTTACGTTCGGCCTCAAATCTGGGGTCTTCTCTTTCTTCCACAGCATTTGGGATCACTTTGTGGAGAGTCTGCAAACGAGGCAAAACAGCAACTTCCGACGGGGAAATGAGTCCGCACCACGGCACATCCCAGGATGGAAGGTGTTGTGGGATGGCCTGATCCCTCGGGGCGTAGAGAGGCTGAAAGCCGACTTGGCAGGGAAGGGGATTGTGGGGAGGGAAGGAGGGAGGGTTGGGAAGAGAGCAGAGCCGATGGAGGCTACAGAAACACCCCATGGTCCAGAGAATGCCACTGGGAATGTAAGCCCATGTCAGCCTCGGAAACAAACGGCACTGCATCATCGTGGCAGCTGAGACAAAGCGGGGTGTCTTTTAATGGACAAAGATTGTTTTGATGAAAAAAGGGCATCAGTCATCGCATCTCACTTCATTCAGACTTTCTCCTCCACCGCCATCCATCTTCACTGCCAACAGATGACAGAAGCGAGGCCCCCGCCACCACCCCACACGCCCCCCCCCCACAGACCGGGGTGTCGCCCCCGCTCCGTAACAAATGACTTTGCTGGAAAATGGCCTCTTTCCTCCGCATCTGCGCTTGCCAAAGCCCAGGGGCACCCTATGGCCCACCACAATCGGCGAGGCTGCCACAATGAGGTCCCACTAATGGGCGGAGCCTCTGGCCACCGGCGGAAGCGGGAACAGAAGCGGCACAGTTTGGGGCTGGAGGCAGCACCTGTGAGAAAGAACATTCGCCTCCCCCAGGATGCACCAACGAAACGCGCGCACACACACAAACACCCCTTCCTTGCGCACAGCGGAATGCAAATCCCTCCAGCCAGGCATTATGCGCAAAGACAAAAGTCAGGCCAGCAGGAGCAGCACCTGCTCAGGGTCCAGGCGGCCCAGGCCAAGGCCACCTTTCCTCCACTTGGATAGAGTCCAACCCAACCCACCCATGGCCCCAAGGGCTATCGATGACACCTTGCACCCGGCCTCCACCTCTCTCCCGCTGCTTCCGTCGGCACGAGAGCCGTAGGCAACTCCACGAGACCGGTGGCCACGTCCATGAGGGTTGACGTTTGCGATGGCGGCGAGGAAGGAGAGGTCTCCGGCCCGCCAACCCCGCCCCCTCCTCCCTTCCCCTTCTCCTTCCCTTAAGACCTGATGGTCTTCAGTCACACATCTTAAAAGGAGCACAAAACACCAGAAGACAAAGACGTACTTGTCTCAAGTCGATGAAGGCCAACTGCAGTGTGTCCCCTTGGAACCCAGGCACTGGGCCGGATCTGGCAAACTCTGTGGGAAAGAGGAGAGGATAAAAAGCGCTTTTAACTAACCATGGACAGGGAGATTGGCAGACGGATGACAGCGGAGACAACAGCGGCTGGGGGAGAGGAGGACCGCACTTCTAAGGAGCAAGGTCTCCCTCCCTTCCAGCTTTTTGTTCACCCTTCAAAATTTGTGTCATCAAAACACCATTAATTCCACCATCCTGACAGCAAGGAAACTGTACTAATTCGACCTGAAATTTATTCCCATGAGCTTCACTGGGCTCCAGAGTATTTGTTTTGTGAATGGACAAACAATTTGCAAAGAAGAAAAGCATTTGGGGGAATGGAGGGAGAGGACGGGGGGGCGGGTGGGGGTCAATGGAAAAAGTTTTCCTCCCAACACAATAAAATCTTCAGCTGTGAAACCCTTTTCAGTTCCGAAAGCTATTTATATTTGGGGGCACTGAAGGAATTTTCTAATTTCATGCCTGTCACAGTGATCTATGCACATTTGTCAAAAATAAATAAGCCAGGCTGCTCCATTAATTACGTTGGAACAGAATAACATCTCCAACTGATATATCATATCATTGCACAAGGACCAGAAAGTGGGGGAGAACCACCACCGCTGCCATTGCACGAAACAGCCATTTATTCTGAAGGCGGCCATTGGACGAGCAGCTCCTGGCAACAGGGATTAGGGGAAAGATCCTCAGATCCTTCTCTCTTCTGCGCCACCTGGATTCAAAGTTTCGGGTCTAAATCCATAATGTGGTGCATAATTGTTGAAACACCACATCACAAACAACACAGTACGAATGCTGAATATCTGTTTGCTGCCTTGCTAAGTTCACATACTGAAGGTTAAGCAAGGTTATCCCACCTCCTCTTGCCTACCTTGAGTAAACTAGAAGCATCTCCCTCCTAGGAAACTCAGGGCCCTGAACATCACAAGAGAAGAACTCACATTTCATCTCCCTAAACTGTTCACCTAACATGCTGCTAGTTGGTGGAACTGGGCAGGACTTCAGGAAGAGCATCACTACCCGAGATGCTGGAGAAACACACAAGGCTGGTCCAAGAACTTGGGTCCCCTCAGGCAGCTGGTCTACACAAGACGTTGTGTAGCAGCGACGTTGCAGAGGTGCATCTGTCCAATTGTGTTTTGCTTTACGGGCGCCCCAAGTGAGGACTGGATGATCTGAGTAGCTGGACCAGCCTCAGCAATGCAGCAGGCCACTCCGTACCCTCCAGGAAGGCTGGGAAGACTGGGCACCAGGGACTTGTTGCAGGGTGTCACTCAAGAGGCAGCATATTCTAGGCTCTCCCAAAACTTAGCATGGGAGGTTCCTGGCAAATGACGGCAGAACCCCTACCCAGGTTGAGGAGTTCTTGATCGCTCAAGATGCACATTGAAAATTAATTAACAGACGTCTTTCCCATGTTGGAATTTTCTTACTTGTTAAGATTTATTTGTCGTCGAGACAAAATCCAAGGTAGGAATGAAAAATGAAGCCTTGGGAAGCTGGGTGTGTGGTCGAGAGGGAGACTTCTTCTTAGGCTTTTATTCAAAACACAGCCAGTGCTTGCAATACTGAGCTAGATGGACCAAGGTTCTGACCCTGTGCCAGGCAGATCCCTTGGCTCCCCTGCACCCTGAATGGACGTCATGGGCCATGGTTGATTTACAACTCCATACATGGCATACAAGCTCTGGTTTTCCCAGTAGTGATGTATGGAAGTGAGAGCTGGACCATAAAGAAGGCTGATTGCCGAAGAATGGATGCTTTTGAATTCTGGTGCTGGAGGAGACTCTTGAGAGTCCCATGGACTGCAAGAAGATCCAACCTCTCCATTCTGAAGGAAATCAGCCCTGAGTGCTCACTGGAAGGACAGATCCTGAAGCTGAGGCTCCAAGACTTTGGCCACCTCATGAGAAGAGAAGACTCCCTGGAAAAGACGCTGATGTTGGGAAAGATTGAGGGCACAAGGAGAAGGGGATAACAGAGGACAAGATGGTGGGACAGTGTTCTCGAAGCTGCCAGCATGAGTTTGACCAAACTGCGGGAGGCAGTGGAAGACAGGAGGGCCTGGCGTGATCTGGTCCAGGGGGTCACAAAGAGGCGGACACGACTAAACGACTAAACAACAACAACAACATGGCATCATATGGAGATCAACCTCCTAGCCTCAAGATGCCACAGACTGATGAGATGGTTTTCTTAAGATGCAACAGATGTTGTCTACTACTACTACTACTACTACTACTACTACTACTACTACTGTTATTATTATTATTATTATTATTACTATTATTAGGAGTCACTTGCAGCACAGAGTTCTCCGAGCAACTTGAACAGCCAGAGAGGTCATATTCGGAGCACAGCTTGCCAGTTGGATGTCAGAGCACAAGTGTGCAAAACCTGCTGTTTAATTCCAGCCACCACCCGGCCCAGGAGGGCACAGCCAGTTCTTCCACTGAGCCCCCTCAGTCAGGTGTCAGGACAATTAGCACAGAGCAGCCCAACGGCCCAGCGGGAGATTGCCCAGGAAACCATCGGATCCCTGTGCCGTGTCAGCAAGGCGAGAGGGGGGTGGGAGCGAGCGGGAGCGAGAGAGCAAGCCCCCTACAGCATGGCCCCTCGGGCAGAACATGGACCGAGAATGGAGCTGGCCCCGGTACAAAGCCCTGGGGCAGCCGAGAGGGTTGGGAGATGTGTGTTCAGGCCAAAGAAGTGATGTCTCCGCGAGGCCTGCAAGCAGGGGCCACCCACCCCGGGCAGGTTACAGGGGGACTCTAACTTCTTTCCCAAAGGCAGCAGGACGGAGGAATAGGAACCGCTAAGCCTTGGACAAAGGAGAAGAATGAAAGAGAGCCCAAGACAACTGAAGAGCTGGGGTGGGAGAGGGGAGAGAAGGAGAAAGACCCACATGGGTTGATTATATGCAATGGACGTTTTTTCCTTTCGTTGGCTGTACAACAGAAACAAGACATATACAGAGAGGTCCCTGTACTTTACACACTGAAAAGGGGGAAAATATACCCCCTGCAAATTCCCATTCTCCCGGAAGCACAGAGGGCAGCCTTAATCCATCTGGGATACTGCCACCTCCTGGGTGGGTTCATCTTCCGACTGCCCCCACCACAACTGGAAGATCAGGAGGACTCGCCCTCCCTCGCTCACCCTTATCAACGGGAACAAAGAGGTCAGTCACTTAGAAGAGCAAAGGACCGTGTGCCTTGCAAGCGCCCGCTAGACCCGGAAGAACCAGCCCAAGCCCCTTCCGGGAGCCTTTCACCACTGCTCACTCGCTGGCCCTTCCCAGCCCATTTTTTGGGAGGACTTTCCAAAAGAGCACATGTATACACTGCCACACCTGCGTGTAAACTGTATGACCTTTGTGCACACTCTTCCCACAAAACCCACATTTTTTCCAATGCACGTTTTCTCTGAGTTGTACGTTTTATATGCAGACAGAGGGCTTTCTCGGTAGTGGCGCCCGCCCTGTGGAACTCCTTCCCTTCAGATGTGAAGGAAATAAACAGCTATCCTATCTTTAAAAGACATCTGAAGGCAGCCCTGTTCAGGGAAGTTTTTAATATTAGTGCTGTATTGTTTTTAACACTTGATTGGGAGCCACCCAGAGTGGCTGGGGAAACTCAGCCAGATAGGCAGGGTATAAACAAATTATTATTATTATTATTATTATTATTATTATTATTATTATTACATAGAATCTGTTATTTTGTGTGTGTGCACTTTGTGGACCGAAACTGCATTAAGAAAACCAAAAGAGTGCGTAGTCTGACTACTGCTTTCAGCTTGGAAAGCAACAAAGTTTGGGAACGTCCAGCTCTCTGCGCCTCTCTCTGCCTCCCTCCCTCCCTCACCCATCCAGTTGAGCCCTCCTGCCTGCCAGCCTCGGAGCAGAGGTGAGAGGCACCTCTGGCCAGCCATGGAAAAGGAAGGGGCCTGGCAGCCCCAGCCGCCCCGTCACCTCGCCTGACCTTTGAGAGCAACACTTGGACTCTGTGCGCCTTCCCCAAACTCCTGCCAAGAGCTTTCCAAGCAGGGCGACTGCCTGCACTTTACTCAACAGCTGCAGGTAATCACTGGGAGGGGAAACGAAAGAGTTTGAAGCAGATCTGGAGAAGGAGGAGGAGGAGGACATTGTTGCACAGAAGAAAGGGGCCATTATGGAAACGCCTTGGCTAGGCGGCTGCTCTTCAGGTTGGGAGGGATGGGGAGGCTCCCCTCCTTCCACGGCTACGTTCAGGCAGGACACGGAAATTGCTCCGCAAATCCCCAAGGTAGGAATGCAGGAGGCTCTAGCCCCAGACAAGCCAGAGACAGGGCCTCCGAGAACACTCCAATCTGCGCTAGTGTCTCCCCACAAAGTGCCGCAATTTGTTCTGAATGGGCTTTTCACCCATGAAGGTGGCTCTCTGTTAGCACCTGCGGAGAGACGCCCAGGAAACGAAGAGCAGCGGCTGGGGAGTGGGTCTCTCTCCCTGTCTCCATCTTACGGCCAAGACTAGAAGCAAACTGTGCACTGGGGCTTTGGCTTATTTCCTCAGGGCTCCTCTCTCACCCATCCCAGCCTCCTTGCAAGCTCCCAACTCCCCCAGGGCAGAACAAGCCTCCCTTCTTCTCCCTCTTTTCGTAATCAATATTCACTGAAAGTTTTCCACATAAGGTACAAACCTTGATGGAATGAATGGGGACACTTCCCGGTATACTGGGCCCTAGATCACTCACCGCTCCCCATTTTTATTCTTCAACAAGTGTCTAATTTTGATGTCTAGCGCAGGGAAGTGAGTAGCAAAGGCTGGGCAAGTGCGAGATGAGCTACGGACCATGGAAAGTCCTTCCCGCTCATGGAAATCAGCAGCGACCCTCGGGAGGAGACTTATCAGTCATGCTGTCAGCAAAGATCACCAGGAAATGAAGGGGTTTTGCGGGCAGTGAGCCTGCAAAGCCTTTTGCCGGCATTTGCTTCTCTCAGAGAGTCTGAAACTGACAG